AACAACGTTGTAATGCATTTTTCATGGAACTACTTTCTCGCTATTCTTTTGGTGACGGTGAACCAGAACCAGCCCTTTTACATAAGTTAATAGGCTATGTAACTAAACACAGCGAGAAAAGGGGAAAACAAACAAAAAATGTATCAGCATTTGAGGAAGACTGCATTGACCGTACTCCAGTAGTTCGATCACTGGTGTTACAATTACTACTGAGATCTGGGTAAGCTCCTGCTGATATATATAGTTTGCTACACAATGCAGTTTGTTATACAATATTCAAACGGCTAATCACTCTGATCACATGATAACATGTTTTTGTCAGGTTTCAAACATGTTTATTTTATTAACCTGACATGTGTTCTAAACAAGTTCAACTGTAATTTACAATGAATTATTTACACATTTAAACTATAAAAAAAACACATTTAAAAGTACATGTAACATGTTTTTGGGGCTGACAAATATAAAATACCTGTTCGGAATGCCAAATAAGCAAGTGTCAAATACATGTACAACAGTTGTGAAAGTATACATGACAGTATAAAGTGTATAAACATAGTCGTGTGTTGGTCATATCTGTTTTTACCTTCATGGTCATATCAAGTAAGCAAGATGTTTCACTGCACTGAGTTGGACAAATTTGGGATAGTTAATAATTAAATCAGCCATTGTGTACTTGTGGTTACACAGGTACTAGTTTGTAAAATACATGTTTTTTATCCAGCAACTAAAGGGGCCTGTTGTACTTTTTTTTCTTGTCGTGTATTTCCCCTTTTAGTCAATCAGGGCCAAGTTCATGTGCACACGACACATAGCATCACTTGCTTCCTTTGTCCTGTGCCTTTTCCATTCATTCAGTTTTAGTTCCTGGTCACTCACTTATGTCGTCATTTTTACTATTATTTTCGTCTTTGTTTCCGAACTATAGTACCTGACCTTGTGTTTCAGTTTACTTCCTTGTAAATTATTTCCTGGTGCTACGTTGGATATTCTGATAGTGAGTTTGGTTTAAGATCAAAAGTTGTAATCAACGCCATTGTTAACTGTTGTTCGTCCACGTCCATCATGGCTCCTAAACGAAAAGGTCGTCCTTGAGCAAGAAAAGGCAACGCTCATCGTGCTGCTCCTTACCCCTGACCAGTAACAAGGCAAGCGACGAGAATCCAGACAACGACCTCTAATGTAACTAACTCCTCGCTTGATCAGCTGGCAGTTGTCCAAAAACAAAGCAATCCGCCAACAAGCAGTCTTACCGATCATCCTGCAGCGTCAATTTTCCAATCAACGGTTGCACCAGCCCAGGAAGCTGCACTAATCAGTCATCAGAATGATCATGGTCCGAATGCCGCAGTTGTTACCCCTCAGATGATACAGGATCTGCAATCTTATATCTCTAACCGAGCCAATATCCTTGCCATGAACACCAAACGCGAGAAGTGACGTCATCTTCGCCCAAAATAGGAAGCGGACACTCTGGGTCGCAACAGCTGAGTAATGACATGACGAACAGCCTAAACACTTCGAATACTAACCTTGCACCAACGCCGATCGTGCCTTTGGGAAACGATTTATTTCGTTCATGTGGGACTTCATTAGAAACTTTTGTTGAGCTTATTTCGCCATTCCTACGAAGAGATATCCTAGCAGGTAAGGATATTAATCTTGCTTGCCTGCTCATACCTAACTATGGATAATCCGATTCACAGCGGCACATTGTGATAGGGGACAAAGTGTTCCAACTTAGCCAATCCCACGAGAATAGACTGTCGCGTGTTCCATCCATCTCGGAATTTATTCTCGCATTCTCAGTATATCAAAGAGTCATGTGCGAAGTCTTCCCTGAGCGTCTACAGGAATTGCCCACTTTCGTCGCTAATCCCTCCAGTCCTTCTGTCGACAGCAACAGGAATGGACGTCATCGAGTCCACTTCCAAGGACAGGAAATTTGCAATAACTTTAACTCTTCTTCAGGCTGTTCCAGATCATTCTGCAACTTTAACCATGTCTGTCTGTCGTGCCATTCTTCTGACCATCCCGTCACTCGATGCTCAAAGAAAGACAGTCAAAAGCGGGCATGACTCCTTCCAGAACTTATATCACCACACTTCAACTGTGCCTGCACCAAGCATGTCAGTTTATGGCCATCTAGGCTATCTTGGAACGCAGCCCGCAGGCTTCACCAGGCAACCCCGGGACGCAGCCATCAGGCTTCACTGGGAGCCCTCTTATTTTGCATTGCAACCAACAGGTTAACTAGACCAGCTTTATGTTTGCCATCCTGGGACACAGGCTTCACCAGGCAACCCCGGGACGCAGCCATCAGGCTTCACCGGGAGCCCTCTTATTTTGCATTGCAACCAACAGGTTCACCAGACCAGCTTCATGTTTGTCATCCTGGGACGCAGGCCACAGGCTTCACCAGGACACCTCTACTTTCCACTCCCTACCTTCATGGGGGGCACTTTGGTCCCAGTCGTGTTCTCCTAATCTCTCGTTTGGGCAAAGGATTTCATCCTGCCCCCCATTTCAGGGTCTGATAGCCATTTTTCGACCTCTCCTCTCTGATCTCTTGGTTTCTTGATGGCTACCTCAGACCCCCTTTTTCGGCTGAGCAGGTCATCCTTTGCCTAGGGGGATCCGACTCGCTTGTGGGATGGGAGAGAAGCCCCCTTGCCCAATTTATTTATTTATGTTTTAATGTGAGTACCGTATTAGTTTATAGCTTTGTAATTTCAGTCTTTGCCTATTCGAGTTTATTAGGTTGTAGCTCTGTAATTAGTCCCCGTTCGGACGTAGTCCGAAAACAGGGACTTATGTTTTGCCCTGTGTGCGTCCGTGCGTGCGTCTGTGATCACCTGTATCTCGAACATGCATGGACCGATTAAGTTCAAACTTCACTCATACATCACACATTATATGGGACATATGCACATGCATTTTTTTCATGATCCGATTTTTTTTGGATCAGCTTTGAAATGGCCGACTGGCGGCCATTTTGTTTTAAAGAATTCAGTTCTGGATCCGTATCTGAGACATGCTTGGATTGATCGAGTTCAAACTTCACACACACAAGGTACATCATGTCACAAATATGTATGTGCATTTGTTTCATGATCTCATTAACGATAGCCAAATGGCGGCCGCTTTAAGGCAGAAAATGCATTGAAATTGCACATTTTCACCATTCCGGACCCGGATCTCAGTTATACATGGACGGATTTTGTTCAAATTTGGTACATACATAAAACATAATAGGACCTTGATGCACGCCTTTTTTTTCGGATCAAGTTCGAAATGGCCGACTGGTGGCCATTTTGTTTTAACAAATTCAGTTCTGGATCCGTATCCAAGACATGTCTGGATTGATCAAGTTCAAACTTCACACACACAAGGTACATCATGTCAAAAATATGTATGTGCATTTGTTTCATGATCTCATTAACGATAGCCAAATGACGGCCGCTTTAAGCCGAAGATGCATTGAAATCGCACATTTTCACCATTCCGGACCCGGATCTCAGTTATGC